GGGCTTTAAATGCCTTCCTCCTTAGCCCATCAGTTCCCTTACTGAAAAAAACTCATCATGAAGGGCACTGCCCAGCATCTGGCACACAGTCTGCACTGAATAAATGCCCCCGCCCCCTCGCCCGCTGCAGTCTGATGGTTACAAGCTGGGAGTCCTAGCTCACCTAGCTCTGCCTGGCATCGTGTGAGATCTCTGAGCCTCAGTGCCTACTCTGTAAAATGGGATAGTAATGGGCCTCACCTCCCAGAGTAAAGGAGCTGAGGCTAAGTAGAAAGTAATTCCTGGCATTCTAGTGTAGCAGCTAAACACTTGCTTAGCTTTGGTTCTGGTTGTTTTACTTGTAAAATGTTTTATGTGTTTAAAAAAAAAAAATCATCGACACCTCCCCAAGACAGTCTCCACAGAAACAAAGGGTGAGGGTAACCTAGCCCCCAAGCTCGTGGGAGGGTCCCCTCCCACTCCACCCAGGGTCTGGCCTCCCTGGGGGGTTTCCTGAAGTGAAGTGTTAGAAGGGGGAAGGAGGGGAGTGCTGGGAGCCCTGGGGTGGGGGTGGGGGGGTGGCGGGGAGGAGCAGGAGGAGGAAGACATGTCCCTAGGAGATAAGGTTGCCTTGTAAGCCTCTGGTAGGGGTGGGGGCAGTAACCCCTAGCTGCCTTTGTTCCTGAGCTGAGAATCTGACAGCTGGAAGGGACCTCAGAGGTCTTCAAGTCCCAACCCCTTCATTTTAGGGCCCAGAGAGGGGACTGTTGTGGCTTGGGACCTACACTTCTGATCCTGGTCTGGGATTCATCCCTACCCTAAGGCATCCTCATTCATCCAGGGCTGATTCAGTCACTGTCGTTTTGGTGGGAATGGTTAATAGTTCAAGTTCACTCTGGAAAATTATCGAATACCCAGTGGAGCACAGTTGTACTCTGACCCGTGTGGAGTTGCCATGAGTTGGAGTAGATCCCATGACAATGAGATCTTCGGACTGTGGGTCAGGTGCTAGAGATGACACAGGGTCTGCCTTCCAGAAGCTCCCATTCAGCTTCCACACTTGGCTCTCAGTAGCCCAGGAACTTGACACATTTATCTGTAATAAATGAAGCTCGTATCTTTTTCTCAGCAACCCCATTTAGCAGATCCAGACACTGAGGTTCCAAGCCCTTCCATGACAAGTCCTACATACAGCAAGGGGCCTGGGCCTCAGAGTGTCACCTCAGGTTGATACACCACAGCCCAAACTCTAGATGCCCCCAGAAGGCTCTGGCAAGGGGGCAGACAGATACTCTTGGGGGGAGGGTCCCTCTTCTGCTGTACTCTGGGCCAACCCTGCTGGAAAGAGACTTACCTAACCCTAAAGCAAAGTTCCAAGCTGCCCTCTAATCTCCCGCCTCCCACCCGCTCCTCGGCCAGCCCTGCTGAAGTCTTATCGCCCAGGCCCTCTCTGTTGCTCAGAAGCAGCCAGCCAAATCCCTTTCCCGCGCTTGGCGCTATCACCCTTGCAGCTCTTCATGGTGCTCAGAGTCCTGAGGAATGGGGCCAACCTGTGTTCAGCATGGGGTGAAGAGCACATGGGGCCACCCAAAGAAGTTCTTTGCCTCCCAGGTTCCCTCAGGAGAGCCTCACAGGCAGGGGACAGGGGCTTCTGCTTGGAGAGTTGGAGTTCCCAGTGATTTGGATACTCCTACCATTCCCTCTCAAGGAGCTTTGGTAGCATAGTGGTTACAAGTTGGGCTGCTAACCTCAAGGTCAGCAGTTCGAAACCACCAGCTGTTCCAAGGGAGAAAGATGAGGCTTTCTGCTCCAATAAAGATTTACAGCCTTGGAAACCCTATGAAAGGTTGCTATGAGTCAAAACCGACTCCACAGCACACCACCATTCCCTCTCATCCACACCCCTGAGCAATAAGACAGGTCCCTTCACTTTAGGCCTCCAGGTAAATGGAATTGGAAGGAAGGTCCTCTTGGGCCTTGAGTTTCGCGTGCAACTCCAACCCACCAAACCCCTAAGAGAGAAAGAAGGCTTTTCTCTGGGCATCAGACACTGGTCTGGGAGGTGGACAGGGCCCAACCCTGTTCTAACTGCAGCAGCTCTCAACTTATCAATAACATGAGTTGTCATTGAGGGTGTCCAGCTGGCTGTAGGCTGCCTGCCAAGTCCCCCCTGCCCCCCAGCTGTGATAGGCACTGAATACACGTGAGCCAGGCAGTGATGGCCTCATTCTCAGCCCCACCTTACAGGAAAAAAAGAATAGACCCAGGAAGGTTAGGTGTCCACCCCAAAGCACACAGCAGGTGAGAGGGGATTCTAACTTAATAACATCTGATTCCAAAGGCTAAGCTTTTTCTATGGCACCTGAATACAGACTCAGCCAGAACTCAACTGCTGCTTTCTAGATTCAGGATCTACAGTGTGCCACATCCAAATATTCCTGCCCTGTCCTTCTTTTGTGCTGCCGGTGCCACTGTGAGCAAGCTAATACTGCCATTCTCTAAAGAGTGGGTGTTTGGTTTCAGGAGACGATTCTAAAATGTGGAGGAGGAAGTCCTCTTGTTCCTCCTAACTTTTCTCACCCCTCTACCTTGACAGGTGTAGGGTATACGCTGAGAATGCCACGCTCCTTCCTGGTGAAGAGTAAGAAGGCTCACACCTACCACCAGCCTCGAGTCCAAGAGAATGAGCTGGTCTGGCCACCTGCCCTGACCCCTGGTGAGTCAGAGCCCCCAGGCTGGTCCACACTGCATCCACCCAGGGTGTCCACTCTACACAATGAGGGATACAGTTGCCATCCCCTCTTGCAAGTCTGGGATGCGGAGGCGCATGATTAATGTTGATGAAATGAATAAATGAATGCATCCTTCTCTTCTGATATCTATGGGTTTGTCTTCTGCAGTCACCAGGGACCAGATCCTGAGCAACAGCCCTGTTCTCAGCACCTTGTTCCCAAACCAGGGCCTGGATTGGACCAGCCTGAAACAGGAGCCTGAGCCAGAGCTGGATCCCAGCTTGACAAGGATGGTTGAGGCACCAGGTACCCAACTAAAGGGGCACGCCACAGGGCATGAAGTGGGAATAGACTCCTGGTAACAGGGAACCTTGGAATAATGAAGTCTAGCGAAAGACAAACAAGATTATCTGACTCCCTCATCTCTCTCCCCATATTTGTCATCACAGACAATAGATAGTGGGTATTTCTTTTATTTTTTATGGCATGACATTTTATTTTTGTACTTTTAACTTCTTATTGTGAATTGGGAATCCTGCTGCGGCACTATAGGATAAGCACTTGATTGCAAGTTTGGTTTGAACTGCAAGGTTGATGGTTCAAACTCACCAGCTGTTTCTCAGAAACCCTATCCAAGGTCATCATTCACTATGAGTTGGAACCAATTCCATGGCACTTAACAACAACAAATTGTGAATTAGATGAAGGTTTACAGAGCAGATCAGGTTTCCATCTAGTAAATCATACACATTTTGTTTCATGTTAATGATTGCAATCACAACAATGAAATGTCACTTAGCCCTGTGTTTCCATTCCTTCTTTCCTAACCCTTCTGAACTTTGTCCTTGGGTAAATGCTGCCCCTTTGATCTCAAATAGTGGCTTATTTGAAGCAGTGTGTACCTCCCTAGTGTTATTGTTCCCCTTGTAGAACTGCCTATTGTTTGGCTAAAAATTGATCAATAAGGTTGAGTTCGGTTCCAGACCTAAAAGACAACTAAGTGCCATAGTCTCAGGGTTCCACCAGTCTCTATCCAACCAGTAAGCCTGGTCACTTTTTATGATTTTGAGTTTTGTTCCACACATTTCCCCCCCACTCTATCCAGCACCCTCTAATGTGATCCCTTTCCAAGCAGTTGATACTAGTAGCTGGGCACCATCTAGTTCTGGTGTCAGAGTCATGAAGCTGATGTTCCTGTGGTTCTTTTGTCCACTGGACTCATTGTTTCTAGGTGTCTTTGATTTTCTTCATTCTTCTTTGCTTCAGATAAGGAGAGGCCAATAGTAGCCCCTTAGATGGGTACCTGGAAACTTTTAAGAACCCAGTCGCTGCTCACCAGAGGACTGTGTTAAGCAAGTTGACCTGGTGTCTCCAGATACTTTGGTCCTGAGCCCCCTGGTCCAATAGTAGGTGTATCTTGAGTTCCATGTACTGTGCTGAAGATTTATAAATATGACCTCATCAAACCCTCACCTGTGAGCCAGGTAGTGTTTATTTCCCTCCGTTTACAGGAGGGGAAACTGAGTCTCAGAATGGGGAAGCTATATGGAGGGGGTTAGGGTTACACCTGGGCCTGGGTGATCCTGCAGCTTCTCCCTGGGCAGGACCATGCTCAGAAGGTCTGGACCCATCTGGAATGTGCTCCTCTGTCCACAGAGGGCCCTATTGTGATGTCCCGAGCCCAGGACAGTGACTCACCATCTTCCGACTCACCCCCGTTCTACAAGCCCAGCTTCTCCTGGGATGCCTTGGCTTCATCCTACAGCCACAACTACCAGCAGGCCCCCTCCACCATGCAGTCTGCCTTCCTGGAGCGCTCCGTCAGCTTGTATGGCAGTCCACTGGTGCCTAGCACTGAGCCCCCCTTGGATTTCAGCCTCCGCTACTCTCCAGGCATGGACGCATACCACTGCCTCAAATGCAACAAGGTGAGCAGCCAGGGTGCAGCTAGCACACCAGCTGCTATGGGGCCTGGGTGTTCCCTGTGTTGTTGTCTTGGGAGTCCTAGGGTCATTATGTTTGCAGAATGTTCATTCTCTTCACCATTCATTGAGCCCTGAGTCCTGGCATGGCACTGTGGGATACAGCACTGGACCGCAAGGTCATTTGAACCATAGGGTCAGCAGTTCAAACTCACCAGCTGCTCCATGGAAACCCTATACAGGGCCACTGTGAGTCGGAACTGACTCCACGGCACTTGACAACAACAACAACCATGTTCTGGAAGGAGCTTTGGTAGTGTAGTGGATTATGAGCTAAGCTGTTAACCACAAGGTCAGTGGTTTGAATCTATCGGCTGCTCCACAGGAGAAAGATGAGGTTTTCTGCTCCAGTAAAGATATAAAGCCTCAGAAACCCTATACAGGCTTGCTATGCGCCACTCCACGGCACATAACCACCAACAACAACCATGTTCTGGAGTTCTGGTATGTCACTGTAAAATAAACACTGGACCTCAAGGTCGTTTGAACTGCAACATCGACAGTTCAAACTCACCAGCTGCTCCTCAGAAACCCTATGCAGGGTTGCTATGAGTCAGAACCTACTCAATAACACTTTAACAACAGTGATCATGTTCTAGAGAAGTAGAGGGTTATGGAAAAATCAGAGGATCCGCAACCAGATGGATTGACATAGTCAGCTGCAACAATGGCCTCAAACATAACAATATTTGTAAGGATGGTACAAGACCCTGCAGTATTTTGCTCAGTTGTACATAGGGTCGCTATGAGTCCAAATCAGCTTGATGGTACTTAACAACAACAACAACCATGCACTTGGCCCTGCATTGTGCACTAGACATGCAGGACCCTGGAAACCCTAGTTGGTAGGATTTGTTACCTTTAATATATGGATGAGGAGCTCTGGTAGTATAGTGGTTACGAATCGGGCTGCGAACCTTAAGGTCAGTGGTTCGAAACTACCAGCTGCTCCGTGGGAGAAAGATGAGGCTTTCTACTCCCATAAAGATTTACACCCTTGGAAACCCTGTACAGGGTTGCTATGGGTCGGAACCGACTCGACGGCACTTAACAACAACAACAACAACAATATATGGATGAAGGGCTAAGGCTCAGAGAGGTTGAGTCACTTGCTCAAGACCACGCAGCAACTAGATACCAGGACCAATACTCAAACAGCTCTTGCCAACTCCTAGCTCTTAACCTTTAGTCTATTTAGCCTTCGGATATGGCTAGGGAGAGTTTTTCAGATTCTCTCCTCCTAACCCCCATTTTACAGACAGGCAACAAGACACAGAGAAGGAAAGAAACTTCAGCTGCTTAAGACAGAGGCAATCCTGTGCTGTAGTGGTTGTGGGTGACTGGGAGTGGCCATGGCATCGCAGGCCTGTAACCTGCTCTTCAGTCACCATGGTCTCATGCTCTGTCCCTACCCCCAGGTGTTCTCCACCCCCCACGGGCTCGAGGTGCATGTCCGTCGCTCCCACAGTGGGACCCGGCCCTTTGCCTGTGATGTCTGCGGCAAAACCTTCGGCCACACCGTGAGCCTGGAGCAGCACACACACGTCCATTCCCAGGTGTGTATCTGGTCAAGCACAGGGCCTCGCTGGCTGCTCTGTGCTTCCCCAAGGAAGTCTAGGGGGTTGGATCTCTTGCCTGCCCATGAGAGTGATGCAGATAGGGCTTTTCCACTGCCTGCCTCCCCTGGTCTGGGTCTCCAAACACCGTCCCTTAACTCATCTTGGTCCGGTATTTATACAGTCAACTTCTTATTCAATTGGAAGAGGATTGTGCCCTGCTTGGGGTTTCAGGGGCAATGAGATGTCTGGGATGCTCAGCAGTGATTCCACCCACTGGGTGGTCTGAGCATATTCCCTCAGCCTTGAGAATCTTGAGATTATGCTTAAATGTTCATCTCACCTCACTTAGCCCTGCCTGAGACAGAGGCTTTTCTTTAGTATCCTTCCAGAAAGAGTTTCTGAAACTGACAAGGATCCCTAACACCTGGAGCAGGTGGGGAAAGCAGATCATCTTTAGAAGTTCCATTCAAGAGCATATACCAGGTGCTAGGCACCTGCTCTACCTTCAATCCCCCCATCAATCCTTTCAGTCCATTGCCATCACTTTTCTGATGTCCTGTGAGTCTCTCAGAGGTTACGTAGGGCCAGGATTCGGTTTCAAAAATTAAAGCTTTTAACTAAATTGCTGCGCTGCCTGTAACCAATCATCCCTGCCTCAAGGAACTCACTCTGGGTTAAATTTCATATGATACAAACCCCAGATCATCAGCTACTCAACAAACATTCTTTAGGCTAATTCTAAATGGGATACTGTGAGCTCTACAAAGACAAATCCCACAGCAGGATAATCAGGCCCTAAGTCTCAGCACCTCTGGGAGGCAGGCTGGGGGACTCCTGGACCCTACTTCTCCCTGTCCTTGAGGCCACCCCAATGGAGTCTCCTGTTCCTCAGGGGATGCCGGTCGGGTCCAGTCCTGCACTCAGCTTGGCATTCCTGGGTGGCGAGGTCCCACCTGCACCTGACCCCCCAAGGCCTCGTTTCCTCCGGCAGGAGCGCAGCTTCGAGTGCCGGATGTGTGGCAAAGCCTTCAAGCGCTCATCCACCCTGTCCACCCACCTGCTCATCCACTCGGACACACGGCCTTACCCCTGCCAGTTCTGCGGCAAGCGTTTCCATCAGAAGTCGGACATGAAGAAGCATACCTACATCCATACTGGTGAGCCCACCCGCCCGTGTGCCCAGCACTCTGATCCACTCTCCCCTTCCCAGTCCAGAGTCCTCCCTGCCAAGCCCATTTGGGATGCAGACAAAACCAGTCAAATTCACCATGCTGGTCTCTGGGGGCACCCTGTCTTTCATGAAATACATGTTCAAAGGTCCCTGAGTTTAGGATGGAAATAAGGGCAAGTTACAAAGAGGAACTGGCCACACTATGATGGAGGGCTGTCTACAGTAGATTACATAAGTACACTTACTGCCTAGAAAAAGTCCCTGGGTGTTACAAACTGGTAAGCGCTCAACTACCAGTCAAAAGTTTGACTGTTCAAACCCACCCAGAGGTGCCTGGGGAGACAGGCCTGGCAACCTGCTTCTGAATGGTCACAGCCTTGAAAACCCTATGGAGCAGTTCTATTCTGCACACATAGGGTCGCCATGAGTCTGCATCTACTCAACGGCAACTAACAACAATAACAATGCCTAGAAAACACTGGAAGGAAACATACCAAAATGTCAACACTGCTTATGTCTAGGTGGAAGTGGGATTAGTGAATTTTCCCTTCACTCATCATTTACTACCAGGTACTGGGATATACTGATAAGCAAGATAGAACTAGTCCTTGTCCACCCAAGCTTGTCATTCAATGTGGGTGGAGGGAGTTCCTAATTTTATTTTGCTTCTCTGCCTTTTCTGATTATTTTGTAAAGTGGGTTTGCTATGAAATAAAGTATAATAAAGGTTCAGAAAGCAAAGGCAGAGCAAGAGGGTAGCTGACCGGGCATAGGCATCCTAACCCTGTCCTTGCTACCTGACAGGTGAGAAACCACACAAGTGCCAGGTATGTGGAAAGGCCTTCAGCCAGAGCTCCAACCTCATCACCCACAGCCGGAAGCACACCGGCTTCAAGCCCTTTACTTGTGAGTTGTGCACCAAGGGTTTCCAGCGCAAGGTGGATCTCCGACGGCACCGTGAGAGCCAGCATAACCTTAAGTGAAGGAGCACCACTCCCCACTCCTGGCCAGCCTTCCCTGATGTCCTGTCATTCCGACTCATGCTCCTGGATTCTCAGTCTTCTAAGGGTAGCCTTCAAGCTTGAGACCCACTAATTTGCTATGTGACCTTGGGCAAGTTGCTTCCCCGTTCTGGACCATCATGTCTCCTGTTGTGAAATGTGGGAGCTGGGCTGGGTCTTTTTTGAGCTGAAGCTTTCTACAGATGTAAGAACTCTAGTGCCTTCTTCAGAACACAACCCCCCCAGGTTACCCCAGGTGGATAAGGATATCAAGAATGGACCAGAGCTGGAATAACCAACAGAGCATCTTCTCTCTGACTGCTGCCCCCTGGGCTGGGATCTGGTCACCTTGGTATTTAGAGGGTCTCTTTCTGGAAGCCACAGAAGATCAGAGCTGCTGGCTGCCCCAGCTCTGACCAGCATACAGCTGGCCACAGAGATTCCAATGCTGCTCTCAGGCAATGAGGCCAGAGAAGGCTGCAGTTATTATTCCTTTCAAAGTCTAGCTTCTCTCAAAGGCTATAAATAAAAATAAAGATACAAATCATTTACATTTTTTTTATTGCGCTAACTACAGTGTATAGGTGACAAAGCCTTTGTCACCTCTGTCATCTTCACATGTACAATTTAGTGATGCTAATTACATTTACCATGTTATTCCACCATCACTATTAAAATGCATTTATATCCGACAAGCACTTATTAATCACCTACTAGATGCAAGGTACTGAATGAGGTTTGGGGGTTTGGAGAGTTTCATAAATGCAGAAAAACTTCAGAGAAACTCACAAATGAGTCTAGGTGATGTATGAACAACAAACTGACAAATGCCACTATAGAAATATAGGAGACCTTGTGTGAAAAGAGGACAGAGAAGAGCAAGGATAATTCAGTTGGGGACTGTATCAATTTCTTATGGATTCTGTAACAAATAAACAAAATGCAATGGCTAAAAACAACACAAGTTTATTGTCTTACAGTTCTAGAGATCAGAAATCCAAAGTGAGTTTTATAGGGAGAAAATCAAGGTATTGGCTGAGCTGTGTTCTTCTTGGAGGCTCTAGGAAAGAATCCATTTCCTTATCTTTTTCCATTTCTAGAGGTTACCAGTATCCCTTGGCGTATGCACTCTTTCTTCATCTTCAAATGACATCACTTCGATGTGTACTTCCCTTGTCCTATCTCCTTTTTTCACTTTTTTTTTCATGTTTTATTGTGAATTATATGATATTTTACATGAGAGAACTTTAGCTTTACATTCATTCCATCGTATATCGTCTCATTGCCATGGTTCCAATCCCCTCCATGCATCATTAACTGACTTCTCCTTTTTTCACTTTTGATCTTCATGCGTCTCTTGTTTAAGTCTAGGCTAACCTTCCTATGAAGTCCTGGTGTGGCACTGTAGGATAAGCGCTGACCTACTAGCTTTGATGTCAGAAGTTCAAACCCACGAGTTGCTCCTTGGAAACCCTACACAGGGTCGATATGAGTCAGAACCAACTCCATGGCACGTTACAAGAACAGTAATCTTCCCATCGCAAGATCCTTAATGTAATCACTGTAATAAACTGAATAATGGCCCCCAGAGATATCTATATCCTAATCCCTAGAACCTGTGAATGTTAACCTTAGGTTGCGAAAGGAGCTCTGCAGATGTGATTAAATTAGGGATTGTGAGATTCCAGGGTAGATCCTAAATGTCTTTTAAGAAGGGAGGCTGAGGGAAATTTGACTGCAGAAGAGAAGGTGATGTGAGGGTGAAAGCAGGGATTGGAGTGATGGGTCTGCACACTAGAGACACCCGCAGCTACCAGAAGCTGGAAGAGGCAAGGTCTGGATTCTTCCAGGGAGCCTCTAGAAGGAACCAGTCTTGCCTACACCTATATGACTCATTTTGAACTTCTGCCTCCAGAACTGTAAGAGAATACATTTGGATTGTTTTCAGCCACTAAACCTGGGGTGATTTGTTACAGTAGCATTAAGAACCAAATACAGTTACATCCACAGGTTCTAGAGATGAGGACAATGACTTGGGGTCATTATTCTGTCTACTCCAGGGGTAGTGAGAAGAAGGGGTACTGGAAACGGTGGTCTCTGTATTAGACCACTTGGAGTCACTGATGGGTTTTCTAGAAGCAGAGGAAAGGGCAGTCGAGGGCAGGTATGAGACAGACCCACAGTCCAGGGAGCAGCCAGCTGACGAGTACATTGGTACAAAGAGGCAGAACGGGAAGAAGTCTGGTAAAGGGGGTCAAGATCACACATGATGGTTAGATTATGGTGAGGGTCTTATCCTCAGTTCTTTAGGCATTGTGGGAGGGGGCATGTTTGGTCTATAGGGAGCTTTTAGAATAAGTCCTATTCAAGATAAAATCTACATTCCTTCTGGAGTCCTGGTGTGAGGCTGTGGGTTAATGCACTGGACCGCAAAGTCAGTTTGATCCATAGATCGTCGGTTCAAGCTCAACAGCTGCTCCTTCAAAACCCTATACATGTTGCCATGGGTCGGAACCTACTTGACGGTACTTAACAACCACAACAATATTCCTTCTACTTCCCAGCTGCCCCACCACTCTGCCTCCTCCCTCCACCTGTCCACCCCTTCTTCTAGGCCTATCTGGGTAAACAATGAGTTCCAGGACATATTTCCATCCTTATCAGTGATTTCCATGGAAGGTTCCACTGGGTACCTCCCAGTCTGTTCCTCAGGACCCTGGACCTGGCTACCTGATAGGGATGTGGTCTGTCTGGGGCCAGGCTGCTCTGAGGGCAGATGGCATGCAGAGCCAAGGACTCGCTATAGCGAGAGCCAGCCTGTCATTCATCTTTTGGAGGTAGGTCAGGAGGAAATTCTATCTCAAAAGTAATTTAAATGGTGCCTTTCACTCCCTGATGTTGACAGCTTGTTTTAATATTTGAATACTGGTTTTATTGCTTACTTTTAAGTAAAGTGGTCCTTGGGATTGAGTCACTGATGCCATCCTGAGGTTTCATTTGCTACCACCACCCCCATCCACACCCCACCTGTATGACTTTCCTGGGGCCACTGCAGCAAAAGACCACAGAAGTGTATTCTCGCATTGTTCTGGCAGAAGTTCAATATCAGGTTCCCTGGGCTGAAGTCAAAGCATCCCAGGGTGGTCCTTTAGCCAAAGGGTCTAGGGAGAAGCTTCCCTTGCCTCCTGCAACTTCTGGTAGCTTCAGCCACTCCTTGGCTTGTAGTGAATCACTGTCTACAATCTCTGCCTCCACTTATGCATGGCTGTTGTCTCTCTGTGTCTCTGTGTCCACTCCTCTTCTTATAAGGACACCCATCATTTAAGGGAGTGATTTGGGGCCCTTCTGGATAATCCAGGATGATCTCATCTCAAGATCCTTAACTTAATGACATCTGCAAAGATCCTTTTTCCAAATAATGACACACTGACAGATACCAGAGGTTAGGAATTGGTCGTATATTTTGCAAGGGATACTATTTAGCTTACTACACACTCTAATCAATCCTCGAAGGGGTCAGTGCTGCATTCCAACAAGTATGGCAGCTGCCTTCTTCTCCCTCAAACTGCTGTTGTTAGATACCATCAGGTTGGCACTGACTCATAGCAACCTATGCACAACAGAACGAAACACTGCCTGGTCCTGCGTCAACCTCACAATCATTGCTACATTTGAGCCCATTACCACTGTAATGGTAGCGTAGTGGTTATGAATCGGGCTGCGAACCTTAAGGTCAGTGGTTCGAAACTACCAGCTGCACCGCAGGAGAAAGATGAGGCTTTCTACTCCCGTAAAGATTTACACCCTCGGAAACCCTATACAGGGTCGCTATGGGTCGGAACCGACTCGATGGCACATAACAACAACAACAACAACAACCACTGTGTCAATCCATCTTGCTGGAGGTCTTCCTCTTTTTCGTTGACCTCCACTTTACTAAGCATGATGTCCTTCTCCAAGGACTGGTCCCTCTTGATAATATGTCCGAAGCATGAGAGACAAGTCTCGTCATCATGGCTTTTAAGGAGCACTCTGGCTGTACTTATTCCAATATAGATTTGTTTGTTTTTTTGGAAGTCCATGGTACTTTTAATATTTCCCTTTTAATATAACTCAAATGCATCAATTCTTCCACGGTCTTCATTATTCATTGTCCAACTTTCACACACATATGAGATTACTGAAAATACCATGGTTTGCGTCAGGTGCACCCTCCAACTATAGGGCCATAATTTGCCTGTATTATATATAAATGGAGCTCTTGTAACTTGTGAACCTCAGTAGAAAGATCACTACACTGGGGCATTGGAAAACCCCGATTGTGTCTGGCTTGCCCATAACTGACAGAGTGAACTATAACCTGCCATTTGTGCAGGAAACCAAAACTCTCCCGGGGTTGGACAGTGACTTCAGTTCATACACTGTGACTCCAATGGTGGGAATTCCAGGCCAGAAAGGATGCAAGGAAGGATGCTGGTGGGAAGGGAAGAGCTGGGGGACTAAATTCCCCTCAAATCACAGTAGGAGGATGACACCCCTCTGCATCTACTAAGCCACCCCAATCCCTGTGTGTTAACTTCGACCTTGGCTTTTTGAAGCAGATGGAACATTGATGGGGAGTTCTGCCTCCATTGTCATGGTAACTACCACTGGCCAGTAGGCTGGTGTCAATCTGCAAGCCTTGAATAAGGAACTACCTTCTCCAATGAAGGCTTCCAGCTCCTATTTGAAGCCCATCCCCTCACAGCCATGGGAGGTGAGGAATAGACTGGGGGGTTGGAAAGGGGCAGCAGCATTGCACCCCCCAATCCCCCTGACAATTGCCTTCTCAGGAGCTGGGGTCCCCCAAGCCAGACCTTTTCAGCCAGAGCTGAATCTTTCCCTGGAAGCAAGTTTCCTGGAATTTCCCACATACCTGCCCACACACCTGCCTTCCTTCTTTGCAATATGCAAATGGTTTCCAGCCCCACTACTCTGAGGCT